GATAACAAAATATATTTCATGAGTGTGGCTAATATTTTGGTATTTTTCAAGAATGCGCAGCTCGAGCGAAACATATCAAAGTATTGGCCACACGAGTGAAATATATTTGTTATTGCTAAAGACACCATCAACTATGTTGTTTATTACATTTTTAAAGCATAAAACATAACAAATGTAATGCATTAAAAAAGAACGGAAATCACGCTTGAAAAGAAAGCTGCGCGCCATTTTGAAATTGATACTCAACGCAATTCCGACGTTTTCTGCTAATTTTTGCAATGTTTGCATATAAAAATGTTATTAATTGTATATTTATGTAAATACTTAAGTGTGTGTACCAAACATTTTACATAACAACCACTTATTCTACCATCGCTTCATTTGAATATGATAACAAATCGTTGCCTTTGAATGAAGCGAATAGAGGATACCGTTATCTTATGCTATTTTGTTAGAGTGTAAAATATATAAGCTTTATGAAGTCGATAGAATGCGATATTTCACTGGCAAAAGTGTAATAAACATAGAACACTATATGCCAAGGGGCTGAGGTTTGAATACATGGTGGGTTTGACCCCCTTCGTCAAGAGGGAATGGGGCCAATAGGAATAAAAGAGGATAAGTGACAAACCTACACGTAATTATTTGATTTTTTTACATAATCCGACCTATTGTTGAAAACTTCAGCTGAAAATAATGAAATATTGACAAAACAAACTAGCATCTAGCTGAAAATTGTTAACAGTGACATTGTCATATATAGGCTTAATCATATTAAATGATACTCTCTATGATTTTGGCTCAATACATATGAGAATAATACCATAATAATAATACAGTAAAATGGTCTGATCCTTAAAATAAAGGGCATGTCTCAGTTACACAGGAGTAGTTGATTCATCCTGCATACATGCAACACACCTACACGAACGCACACACACACACACACACACACACACACACACACACACTTAATAAAACATCACTAAGATAAATGTAAAAAAGAAATATACTTGAATTTACCTTTTTCTACAGAAAAATACATGGTAATCCATATAAATCAACCTTTCAAGCTTTGAACATTCTTTAGTATCGATTTAGCTTTTCCGTTACCATATCAACGATTTCAGTCTAAGACGCATCGTCAAACTCCCGGGAACTATCTTCTCCTACGTTCTCTGTGTCCCTGGAATAGGTCATGACAGAAATGAAGGATTTTTAACGCGACACTGTGTAGATGATACGAGTAGGCTAATATATATTTTGAGGTTCTTATATACCGCTTTATCACAACTTAGTTCGTGAGTCGTCTCAAAGCGGTTCACACATTAGTATCCGTGGTTATAGGGCCTCTGCAACCAGTCAATATCTTTCTCAACTCCATGGCGAGCATGCAGCCGGAGCTGATATTTCGGCGCAAACAGCTAGCATTCAACAATTCTAGCGCTGCCCAACCACGTACTCATTTACAGCTGAGTAGACTGGAACAAGCGGAGTAAAGTATCTTGCACAAAGATACAACACAGTGCCGTGCCGTGACTCGAACACGCACCTCTTCGGTCACGAGCCCGGCGTCCTTCCACTAGACTACCGTGCCTCCATACTCTGAATCTTAATGTACATCAACAGAATCACGCGCAGCGTCGCTGTTACATTTGCCGGTCTTAAGGTCGGGTTTTTCTCCTCTTAAACTTTCAAAGGACATGCATTTTTCTAGTAATTGGTTACCTGAAACTAATTAAATATCCAACCACGTGCCATAGGTTTTTGTCAATGCGCTAAATTGTCAGGAGTGCAGAGAACGTAAGTGGACGTACCTCTGGATTTGAATAAAATGTGTGAGCATTTTCCTTTAATTTAATATAAGTATGAGGCCTATTTTATTTCTTTATACTAATTGTGAATAGGAATGCTGATATGATTTTCCTATTGCAATAAAGTAATCAATAATTCCTTTTCCTAATATATTACTTACTTTGCTATCCTTAAAAGCTGTATTACAGCCAATATGTTGTGGTTGCATACGTATCTAAACAAATGTCTTTCATATACTATAGCGCTTTGTATCAACAATAGTGTATAATTATAAAATATTAATGATATTGCTTGATTTAGTTTTGAAACTCAATAGAGATAGAGTTCATAAACGTGGACAGAAAACGATAACGTTTGCATTCGTTCACGGGGAAAGGAAGTCTCTTAAATGTATATTTAGCAGATGATCTAGTAGGATATGTCACGTACAGAAGGCTACGGTACCCGATAGTTACATGATGCTACATACCCCTATACACATACATACAATACTCACCAATCAAGCATTCCTGTACACATTAGTTTACATGTGTTTGTTTACTCTGCTGTAAAGACTAGTTTTGATTATAACCTGTGGTAAAACTTCCTGTTGGAACATAAAACAACGCACTTTTTCGTTCATATAAACAAGCTAAAGTGATATATAATATCTGACTTCGATGTGCTATAGAAAGGCAGATACTTCATTGCAAATATAATCGGATGGAATTGTGTCATTTGATAACACTGACAATATACCACCGTTTGCAGAGGTAACTCTACTGAAGTATTAACCTTAATAATAATAATAATAATATACAACATTTATATAGCGCCCTATATAATTTGAAAAATTACTCTAAGGCGCTTTACAACATATGGATAATAGTAATGGTTATAATTGTTAAAACAAACAACAAAGGCTTGCAATCACGTTCATACATTTAACAAGAAATGTGCACATAATTGAACAAATAAAAGGGTGGTATTTACATGACGTCTTTGCAAAGATTCTAAAATGCAGACGTGAAGAGGTGAGTTTTTATGTCCCTCTTGAACTTGGCCAGTGTATTTGACTTCCTAATAGCAGATGGTAAGCTATTCCACAACGTAGCCGAAACCCTCCCAAAGCATCTGTTTCCGTAGGTCACAGTACGAGATTTTGGGACACACAACAAATATTCTGACTCCGACCGCAGTGATCTTGACGGCTGATACAGGGTAACAAGTTCCTGTAGGTACTGAGGAGCTGTTCCATTCAGTGCCTTGTATGTGTATACCAGAATTTTGTACTGCGACCTGTATCGTACAGGTAACCAGTGCAACGAATAAAGCGCAGGTGTGATGTGCTCTCTCTTTCGAGTACGAGTAACTAGCCGTGCTGCAGTGTTCTGAACCCTCTGCAGACGACTAGTTAGTTTGTCAGATATACCACAGAGCAGGGCGTTACCATAATCCAACCGAGAGGTAACAAGTGAATGCACCAAAATCTTGCATGCATCTGCAGTTAGAAACTGCCGAATACAGCCGATGTTCCTGATCTGGTAGTAACAGGATTTGGCAATAGCGTTCACTTGTTTCTCCATGTTCAGAGAACTGTCAAAGTATACCCCTAGGTTTTTAACAGCTGGAACAGTCTCAATAGTTCTGGCACCAACCTTGAGCTGGAGAGCCATTGTTTGCTGACACTTTGGGGAAAAGACGATTAGTTCCGTCTTTTCCTGATTAAGTTTAAGCATGTTGGCGTTCATCCAGATACTGATATCTGTCAGACAAGCTTTCAGACTTTCTGAGACTGCATTCCAACTGTCTTGTGGTTTTATGACCATGTAAATGTGTGTGTCATCGGCAAATCTCTCAAATCGGTCTGGAGTACATACACTATTTTCGTGGTCCTAACACCGACCCTTGAGTAACCCCGAAATCTAGTACTTTGTCATGTGAGGTGGCAGCACCGACGGCAACACACTGTCGTCGTTCACTCAGGTATGACTGTATCCAGCATAGTGCGGTATCAGTCACTTCATAAGAGTATTCCAGACGTTTATAATGTATGCCATGGTCGATGACGTCAAATGCAGCTGACAAGTCCAGCATGACAAGCACCGCTCTGCACTTGTTATCCAATGCTGAAGCTATATCAATATGTACACGTAGGAGGGCCGTCTCAGTAGAGTGTCCCATGTGGTAGGCCGATTGCATGTTGTCATGGAGACTGTTTGCATGGAGATGAACCTCTAAACGCCGGGACACAACCTTCTCCAAGATCTTAGACAGAAAAGACAGATTTGAAACTGGGCGGTAGTTTTTCAACTCCTCCATGTCCATTCCAGGCTGTTTTAACAATGGTCTGACATGTGCCTTCTTGAAACATAATGGAACCTTTGACTCAACCAATGATTTGTTCATGATTGCGGTAATCAAAGGAAGCAGTGCTTCAAGACATTGCTTTAATAGGTCTGTAGGCAGTGGATCAAGCTCACAGGACTTCTATTGCGAGGTCATGATAATGTTGCGCAACCCGTCCTGGGTTGTTGCTGAGAGCTTTGTCAATGGTTCTACATCAAATTGTTTCGTGGTTTACAGTGGTATAAAGGAGGGTTATTATTTCGTTTAACCTCGACTAGGTTATATTTGTATATATATATATATATATGCGTGTGTGCTTCTCTCTCACTTAAATACAAGATATTTCTTAGGAGTAGTAGGCTTCTACAGGAAGTTTATCGCAAACTTCGCTGTCATTGCGGTTCCACTTAGAGAGTTGACGAGGAAGGGACTTCCTAATAAGCTAGAATGGAGAGAGTGTCATGAGAAGGCATTCGTCACTCTGAAGAAAGTGTTGACGGCCAAGCCGATTCTGAAGTTACCAGACCTGAGTCAAGACTTCATACTCAGGACTGATGCGTCCGATACCGGGATCGGAGCGGTGTTGCTGCAAGTAGGAATGGACGAGAAACTACCAGTGGCATATGCTAGCAGAGGGTTACTGCCTAGAGAACGAGCTTATGCAGTGGTAGAAAAGGAATGTCTGGCTATAGTATGGGCTATTCAAAAATTCGAGCAGTATTTGTACGGCAAAGAATTCGTCCTCGAAACAGACCATCAACCACTCATTTATCTTCAGCGTTCCAAGACGACCAATGGAAGGTTGATGAGATGGGNAGTGTAGGAGAACGGTGGTGTAGCTCAACAGACAAGGAATATACATATATACAGTTTATTTACAAAGTAATACACTATACACATACATATGATTATACATACACCTCATTCACTCATTCATACAGATGAATATCTACAATGAAACTATAAGATATATATATATAAAGTTCATGGCCTTTCTCTGTTCTGTATCTCCTTCCGGTGTCTCACTGAATTACTGTTCAATTCTGGTCCCAGTAGAAAACAATATCTGTCTAAATGACGACAGCACCATTCAACTTCCCGGACTTCCCGTATTCCACCCGATATCATCTGCTGATGACGAGGAATGACATAAGCTGTAGCCGCAGCATCATACCAGCTTTCTGTCCCATAAGTGTTGTCACTCCGACCCCTACGTGCTTTCTGGCGCACCAATGTTGTAGGCAGTCTGGCGAGTAAATTCACAATGTGGAACCAATGTTTAGTTGGTTGTCTTATCCACAATCCACCTTAGGCCATTTATCTCCGAGTTGGAACCAGACATCTGTAAAGTACAGATGTACACGAATAATAATAATAATAATACTTGTACACACACTCTTCCAAAACTAGCACACTTTATCTAATATGTTCAAACTATATCATGATATCTGGTATAACACTATACATAGAAAATAAACCATTATGCTATAAAACTATATATATATATTAATGATGGCTATGTGTGCATGCCTAAAACATATGTACATACATATATTGTAAATTATCTATGTCTCCATATGCATATTGAACAATACCACGAAGTATGCCTTAATAACACTGACAAGGTATGAAATGACTGATTAATGTTACAAAGCATGACCACTTGAAATACTATAAGTAGTACTAGCATGATAAATCATAACGATCAGCTTTATATAACTTAATTAACACATACAAGTTACTTATTATGGTATCTTACTCTGTAACATACGTACACACGCCTTAGCGGTGAACTACATACTCGTAAACATTATACGCATGAGTGACGCGCACCCGTACCTAGCCTACCTATACAATGCATGCACACTCTAAATGATCTAATACCCGACGAAATATGAAAGTACAAATATAAAAGTATACATAGAATAGTAGGATGATCAGAGTTAACACTTACCCTGTTTCATAGGTGGTCACGATGACTCTGTCTGGTTTTTCGGCCTTCTCAAAATGACACACGTCTTACCGCAACAATGGCTAATGACTGTGTGTGAACATTACTTACGTGGTCAGTCCAACTTTCTATTATAGCTTACCCGTGAATAGCGGAACGAAATAAAGATAATATAAAATATAGAAATACCCACTTACCATCCTAATATGCTTCGTGACACACTGTAGGCTACGGGGATCAGCACATAAGAATGATTTAAATTTTGCCATTTCGTTTGCATAATGGATGAGTGTGAAACAAACAGAAATGTCTCGTGATTTATAAAGATAAAGGTCGATCAAATTTTGGTACATGTAATATATCCATCACAAAGACCTGACGTACGCTAACAGATCAACGCGACACACAGATAATAATCAGTTATGGTCAGAAGTATTTACACCTGCTTACCGAACAAAAGACTAATTAATATTGACAGTAAGTAAACTTGTTACGGGTTTTTTAACGAGAAACGTAAAAATTAATAAGCCTAATGATAATGATAAAAAATGATATAATTTCAGACTCCTGTGTTAAGGATCCAGTACCTCTATTTCTATTTTTTTTATATCGTCTTTAATTTAATACTTCCATACACTTTTAGATTTTTCGTAGGATTTGGAGACCGATAATGTGCTTACTTATAAGTACATGCAAATACATGCATCGGAGATTTGAAATGTATACAGGTTATACCATGTCTATTTATTAAATTTCATTCACAGATAAACACGTTTTTTTGTTATACATCATGTTTTTATTATGAAAATGTAATTGATTCCTGTTTAAGTATACATTGTACGTGTATATTGTTACGGGAGTTATTATATATATTTTTTCAGTTTGAAAGGCAAGCTCGTGAATGTAGAAAACTATTATGAATAATAAAAATAATATGTACTAAATATATGTAATTTTTACATTCATGATATGTACCTCTAGTATTAATAAGAATATAGGTTTTCTTTATCGATCATAAAAATGTAGGTATCTACACTGACTTTTCTACAGGTAAATCTTACCTGTCTGAATCCTGGTACAGGAGAAACTATGACTGTCTGCCTGAGGGGTGTGTACTACAGAGGGTATAGGGGTCTTATGTCAGATAACTTAGGGACTGAGACCAAGTCAAACTTCAATATATCTACAATATGTATTTCTCCGTTTGTACATGTACGTTTGTACCTAAACATGCGTGGATCAAGGAGGGTGTGGGCTTTGGGCGATAGCTTCCTGATCAGGGTCCAGGGGCAATTAGTCATGGTAGAGTAGAGCAAAGTAAAAGGGTGTGGGTAGGGGGAGGGGTTTATTTAATATATACATTTATCACTCATTTATAACTTTTTTCACTTGGGGGAGGGGGGGGGTATACATGGATATCTATGTGAGGATGCTCACAATCTCTTGTCTCTAATTCCACATGAAAACGGTATGGCGTTGAGGGAAGATGATGGCATTTTCCTGAAATTTCAAGTTAATGTGTCTCCATAATTACAGTGTAAGTAATTTTTCGTGAAACTGGTGATGGGGAATGGTAGCGCACACAAAATCAAGTGAAAATATTTGCTTTAATGTATACGTCTCTGACCGTTGTCAGAGTTTTTATAGACAACACCACAATAGATGAGTGGCAAAACTACATAACATTTTCTTTGTTTGTGCTCAATACACAATACATGTGTAAGTGCTACAATATTTCATACTTTGTCATACATATACGTAGCCTCATCGCCTGATTCATGTTCAAGTTCTTTATTACTTTGAGTCGTTCGACTCACCAGTTACAAAGTAACAAAATTTCTGATATTAACTGTGCAAAATACAAAATAACATTACACAACATTACACAACATTACACACACTCACAACACAATTACATGTGAAACTATACCTATATATGATAATAAGGTTTCTCTCGAATTTGCAAATTTTATATATTTCCCTAATTTCTTTTGTATTTTTCACACTCAATAATCCTTTCAATTTAAATATACTTGGCTTTTTAATATAATAAGTTTTCAAAACAATTGCTCGCAAATCAGAATGACATGGTCTTCAACATCATACACACTCGACGATTCAATGTTTTGATATCGCCTTTTTCTAATTTTAAGTTATGAGGAGTTTTTTTTATTTCTTTCAAATATTCTTTTTGTATGGGTTTACGCAGGTAGTTTTGTAGAACAAAATGATCGTAAATATATCCATAAAAAAAATCTTTTGAGAATATTCTATTTTTTCTGCACATTCTTCTCTAAAAATATCAATAAACCTTTCTTTCTTTAATTAATAAATCTTGTTGTCGTTAATATAATATTTCCAAATATACCCTAGGCCAGGTTAATCCCAGCCTCTGATATATACTGTCCACTGTGTAACTTGCTAAAGGCGCTAAGTGGTACTAATTGGTCAGCTGTAAAAGGTCAATTATCTTTTCCATTGAACCATGTAAGTTCATAGGTACACTAGCCCAGAATTGCTTGACTGAATGTTGACACCTTTATAATTACCACACACAGAGAGGGCACTCCGTTAACAAACTTACTATAGACCGAGACGTATTGTAATATATACGTCTCTGCTATAGACAACAATGAATCACACTCTATTTTCTCAGGAAATCAGTCACATGATGACAATAAAGTTATCTTCATAATGTTTTTTTTAAATGTTTAATGAAACTTATCATCATTTTCAATAATCTGATATGAAAAGTTTGTTACGTTAGTATTCAACCTTGCTCTCTGATAACAGAACTCATGATAGATTATTTAAAAAAAATTAGATTAGTTTTCAAACAAATCATCATTTAACGTGAGAAGTTAAATATCTTAAAAAGGGCCTTTTTTACTTTATTAAATTAGGAATTCCAAGTTAAATATTAGTTAAACTTGGTTAAGGCACTGTTATGAAATGAAATTGTGCCTGGGGCTGTCATTTCCTGATCGAGGGACAGCCAAAGTATCTTACCTGTAGGTTTTTACCTTGAACTGATTTACCTGTATACAGCTGTACGTGATGGATAGACAATGAACTGGATTAATTGATATGGACTTAATTGCCTTAAAATCACAGAATAAGAACTTGATCAGGTACAGCACATCAGAATCCAAAGTGACCACAGGTAAATGGTCAATGCATTATCACTGCCTAGATTATCAGGCATATAGATATCATATTGAAAGAAATGCATCTGTCAGCGGGTGGTCATGCTGCCCTAACAACCTTTATAACGGACACTAATGTTGTTTATACCTTAAGCAAGGGACAGGTCATTACCACATGGCCAGCTGTCTGCCTGTTATTTAAATTAACCCTAATGCCTAGCTGCTGATGTGGGGAACACACAGTAGGCCCATGGGAGGAGGGCTGTTACGTCCATATAAAGGCAAAATCGCTGATATTAAAAAAAAAACATCCCGCCATTCAGACGCACAAGGTTTTTGTAATGTGTGGAAATACAATAACCTTAGGTGCATTTTATAAAATTGCTCATCTGTTCTCCTTAGTTTATATAGGTAAATAACATGTCTGACTATATTTTGTCCATTTACAGCAAGATATTTTTCAAACTTGGTTGGAATAGTAATAATGAAATTGAAATAAAATAGTATCAGAAATTCAGATCCTGACCTATCCAAGGGGTTGGCAAAAAAGGATATCATATTTCTCAATAGCAAAAAAAAAATTATGTAAATGGTTTTTAAAGTTCGTCCCTTTGGTGACATGACAACTATTGCATTTCACTTTGTTTATGTTTCGATTTCCATATCACATCTCAACAATGAAATTGAGTTACCAGTGTACTTATAGATTTACGTAGGTGAACGTTAAGGCCCTTGGCCCTCTTGTTTCCATTTATTCATTGCATGCTTTTGAACGTACATTTTTTAGATTAGAAAATAAATATAAAATAGTATAGCTTATAGACAAGAGGTTCAGTGAGTCTGTGCTGAATTTCAGTTTGCCTACCTGCAGCCCTCTGCCTTCTGTCCTCACACGACATCCTTCATGGTTTGCTCAGTTTAAATCACCATCCACCTAAGGACATGTCAAGCTTAATCTAGTGGTATGTTTCGGAGTAGTTCAGAAAAAAAAACCGTTTAACGCACTTCTCTACAACACCGTCCTGTGTTGTAGAGAAGTGCGTTAAACGGTTTTTTTTTTCTGACAATTTAAAAGCGTTTAAAGCACTGTTCTTCAACAGAAGTCGACAATTGAAACAACCTAGCTAGTAAATGTAGTTTGGACCAGGTGAAGCTAAGAGGAATTTCAAATAAAATATAACTAAATATTGAGTTGTTGTTTTAATGAACTAGTCCTATTCAGAAAACATTTGTTGTAAACTTAACAGTCATAAGAAACACAAACAAAACTTGTATAAGCTAAGTCATTTTATGTGCTTAAAATTGTGTAAGTCATTTCACAACGAATATACTTATGTGAGAATGTACACGTAGTAAAATTAAGCCGAACGTAAGCATCATACACGAACAGACATTTTGCAACGCTTAATGTAAACTATACTGGTATTGCACTCAAACAATTATGTTATTATACACAAACGCAGGTGTTGCATAAACAATATTGTCACACGCAAGAGTCATACACAAACAACACTAGTGCAAAACACCAACTGTACACTGGTATTCACAATGTGGGGTTGGGGCAGGACCTACAGGCTCAATGGCTCCTTTTCCAACTGTTAAGACCTTGGTGGTAATAAGGCAACACATTCCACCATGGACATGTTCTGTAGACATTATAGACATGTAAAACTGAATGTAAAAAATAAAGATTACACAAAAAATACGATGTAGTCAATAAAATGCATACTTAATGGTATAGAATCTTTGACAAGTGATGTTCAGGTCATATTGTTTAAGCAGTAAGTGATAAGCTTTCTCGTGTTTATAATATTTTGGAGTAGAAGGACAAAATATGTGTTAAGTGTATTTCGATGTATACGTCATCATTTTCCATTCAATATATGCATATGTCTCTGCATGTACTAAATATGCACAGAAAGAGCACATTTGTGTATCAAAGTCTGAACTGAGCTTTCACCATGCAAGTTTATGTTCCTGTCATCGGTAGCATAGGCAATGTACAAAAACGTTTCTATTCCTCATTAAACCAATTTCGATTTAATGTGATACAAATTAAACTGATATTTTAAGAAATAGATAACTGAACGTTTGATTATTGTGTATAGAACCTTGCATATTCACTGTTTATGAACAAACTTCCTCAAGTCCGATATTTACTGTTCATGTTCCTTCGGGCTTATTGGAGGACATAAGTAATGCAGTTTACATTTGGACACGATAATAGGTATTCTTTTCATTTATTCGAAGACAAATTCTATAAAATGGTTGTCAACATGATTTTAATCAGGCTAAATGGCTGGGTCATGTCGTTGTTAAAATGTATGTCAAATGAACACATGATGCTTATCACTCGGAAGTGAAATGATCGTTGCAGTGTTGATGACTCGTGCGATAAAACCCATTGAAATATAACAAAGTATAGTTGGTTTGAACTCGATCCACTCGCAGTCTGAAGACATATGCCATGGAGGTAACAAAGCAAAGTTTGTGTTTATTCCCTGTATAGCAATATGCATACATGTATCTACTAATTATGAGTCACAAGTAAATGTTTGTTTGGGTTTTACGGCCCATCGACGGGTGTGGTCATTTAGGGCCATGATGATGTATATATATATTTTTTAACAAACAAACAGATAAAATCAGAGTTTAATTATCTACACATACAATGCGACTGCTTTTAAAAATAAACAATGTTTAAAAGCAATCGCATTGTATGTGTAGATAATGAAAATAAAAAGGGGATTGAAATGATAAAAGAGATAACGAATAGAGTATATGGACAATGTAATAAATATAACGTCAAAGAGGGTAAGTTGTGATTAAAGACATCTTTCCAATAGTTGAATAATGCCTTTGGGTCCAAGGAACTGAAAAGAGTTTTCATATCCTGGACTCGAAAGTAGTTATCACGAATGTGTTTAAAATCGGAACATTCTATTAAAAAATGCTCCACTGTAAATGAAGTGTCACATGCGTGGCATAAAGGTCGATATTCTCGTTTTAAAAGGTACGAATGCTTAGGATGTGTCTGCCTAGTACGGAGCAGAGAGAGGACAATTTCCTTTCTGCGATCCCCGTACAAGGTTGTCAATACATGACTGCTTTTCCTATATAATAATGGATAACTTAAATGTAATGTTCAGATCATACTATACCACTGGTATCAGTTAACAGTTGATTAAGTTGATTTTTATTTTATCTTATGTTAATTTTATTTTTCGTATAGGTACCATATCTCGACATGGCAACGGATTTCAGCAGACTACCAGAAATTTTGAAACTGCACACCGATATGGTGCAGAAACTAGGAGAATTATTTCCGGTTAAAGGAACTAAATGGCATACCATTTTGAAAAAGGTACAACTGCTTAACCTACTATCTGTTGCTGATGTAGAAAAAATCGAAACCATGTATGATCTTTTCCTAAGTTTGGTGCAGAAAAAGGACAATGGCATTACGTACGGTGAATACACAAGTACACGTACAATTCTTGGATCCTGCAACATCGATGCTGAAGAAATAATAGATCATTACACTGGACGTATACATGCGTTTTACAAAGGTATGTATATATTAATTGCAACGAGTACTTAGTATGTAGTACGATTCACTTGGATACATGTAACTATTATGCTTCATACACATGATTAATCTTCATATTTAGACATACATACTTGAAATTATTTCTATGAACAACAATGTGGTATTGAAAAGTTCATGTCCATACGCGTTGTGCTATCGTCAGATAAATTTGTCTTATCTAGAACTAACTACTAGTCAAGCAGATGTGTTTATCAGAATACAGTCCTATTAATATTCGCTAGCTAAATTAACTAATTTACATAAGTTATTACGGATTAAATATCCATTCGGTGATGTTGCCGCAACATTAACACCTCACACTAAAATATTGATTCAAAATGATCCCGTTTGGATACTTTCGGCAAAACTATTCATATTGCAGCCCTGTTTTTTTATTTTATAAACTATTTGACTCAACGATACACCAGGATATATACAACAGATGTTATCACAATCGAAGTATGTTCTTGATGTTTTGATGTTTTAATCATTCTTATCAAATGGCACAACATGCACATAGTTTTTTTTTTATATCATGTTCAACACATGTAAATAAATGTAACATGGTTTACATTTCTTCTTTTATCGTTCAAAAGCCATTTTTGAATAGCATACACTTCATGTGTGTTTCTTATTGCCATACTGTGTGTGTGACGATATCAATACATTGATATGTTAATTGATAAAAATGTAACCTAAATGAATGGTTATGTCTTTACAGGATTATGTATCTTTATAAAAGATAATCTTTATATATTTTACAACAGAACTGTAACAAGTTTATCAAATTATATTGGTGCACTTAGGGTCTTGATGACGGAGAAAACTAGAGTACTGTGAGAAAAACCTTGGTGGTCGAACAAGGGACCCTATATTTGTTCAGAAAAACCTTGGTGGTCGAACAAGGGACCCTATATTTGTTCACGTCCGATTGGAGATCGAACAGAGGTGTTACTTTATGAACGGCGTGTGCGGTATCCACTGCGTCACTCGCATATCATAAATAATGAATCATATTCCAATTTGTACCAAATTCAGTGTTGTTGGTAAAAAAAATATAAGCCAAAATTATGACATATGATTAATTTAAAACGACTATTATAAACGAATATTAGCTTCATTGCAATATATTATAATAGATATAATACTGATATGTTGATAACGTAAATAAGTATCAAAACGTATTAGATTTATATAATGATATGATTATCCAATACCTTTTTATCACGTAAATACAATGTAACAAAGTGATGTATGTGTGTATGTCAGTAGATTCAAAATAATCGGTTGTCCAGTTTACGAGTTGATGTGACATGACTGTTATTAAATAATTAAATTTTGATAGAAATTTGGCATACCTCATCAAATGTATGAACTAAATACCTAAGTGAATTAAAACCAACATGTTTGCACAAACACAATCATGCTATGGTTCGCCATTGGGTCTATCCGTTCTCTTTATGACTTATTCCGCTGGTCATACAATTGAAACTGTTAAGATCTCAACCATTTAATTATAAGGAGAGTAACACTCCTCTTTTATAACATAGTTGGTTCCTCAGCCAAAATGGAATTTCGTGTCACGCAATGAATCTTAATCGTAAACCTAAAATAAAACTCATGCATTTATTCAATCAAGAGGTGAACCTCACAGCCAATCCTGGTAGCACGATTATCTGTCTGTTCATTTCCCGCTATTAAATAAAGGATATATGATTGGTATCTACATTTTCTATATTATAACCGCGGCATAGCATAGTAATGGATAAAGCAACACATACAGTAAGATGTTTCACAATATGCACAACTCACAACAAAATGTATCACTTTCCTGGTCACGTTGGTCAGATGTGAGAAAAATATAACACATCTGTGGGTTGCATGGATACATATCACAGTACCTTTAAAAATAAGTAATACATTTAAAGGTATCATGAATAAAACTAATTTCAAAAATGGGGTTTGGTTTGGTTATATTTAGTTTAACGCCCTATAAATAGCTAAGGTTATTTTAAGGACGTTACTCCAAGTGTGTTGTGTCAGCGTGCATGTGTGTATGTGTGCCGGACACAAGGTTTGTTGGTGTACTTGCCTCCTTGTCATAGCGCAGACTTGATGACGTCTTTATAGTGCTATCTCACTGAAATACCATACCGAAGGCACCCAGCACATCATTTCGCCCGGTAGCATTATACTGACAACAGATGAACCAGTTGTTGTCATTACCCAAAATGCTGAACGTTAAGCAGGGAATAACAACTACATGTACCATTTTTAAGGACTTCGATATGTCCCAGCCTGGGGACAGAACCAATAGCTTTCCTCGCCTCGGCGAACGCTCGAAATTAAAGCCAACAGTGAGAAGCAAGGCACTAGGAAATACAAGTAGAAAGAGGAGAAAAACAATAAAGATCCCAAATGTTGCAATGGGTGTATCAGATTGTTTTTGGTCGTTTTTGTGTCCAAAAGTGACCCCGACCTGCAGGTGTTTAAAAAATTGGAGATTTGTGACAAAAAAACATGGATTTATTTCGAAGGGAGAACCGTGAAAATGTGTTATATAATGATTCATATCAAAGTTAAAAAATCCTCTCACCCAATTAAGAAGATCAGTCATAGTCGCTCTCAAACTAAAACACTCTATATTCAATACTTTGAAACGTTTGACGACCTTGATTGGGTTTTAAATAGGTTGTTTAGTGGTAAACGGCGATTTAAGTGCAGAAGTGAATTCCCTTTTAGAGTTTGGTAAATCTATCAGGTTAACCATTCAAGAATATTAGCAGTGTAAACCAAAAATAGAAACAAAACACTCCGGGTGGTCGGGTGGCGCAGTGAATAGCTTACTTGCCTTTCACCAAGGCGACCGGGGTTCGATTCCCCGATCGAATGCGAAACGGTTTGGGTTTATCTGCCTGACCATGTGGTATTTCTCCCGGTACTCCGGTTTCCTCCCACACTAAGACCCCCGCGAGCTTACACCCGGGCCAAGGAGAGTAATTAATTTAAGTTGAAATAACTTGTTTCACAAAACACTAGTTCGTAGTTCGTGACCCAAACATACTAGCTTATCATGTTCATGTTATTCCTCATATACGAATATGAATACGGAAATTCCTTTACAGAGTTTCGTAACTCTATCAGATTAACTATTCCAGAATAATAACAGTGTAAAACCAAAACAAACACAAATAGAAAATACTAGCTCATCATGTTATCGTTTGTGTTGAATTTTAAAACTGTGCAGCCTATGCTATTGTTCAAACTTCTGACTTCCAATTTTGATAGTGGTCTTTCATTAGTGCAGTTGTTGTGTGACAAGAAATTAAATGAATTGTATGTGAATTAAAAACATAACCTTTTAAAGACCATTTTAATAATGATGCAGATTGATGAAAATGTTTTACAAAAAATCTTCTGAGAAATGATGTTGATGTTTTCATTATGCTCTTTAGTATTAACGGAAGTTTAGGTGGTACTATCTTCTTATGTATTGTCAATGTGGTACGTATCATATTGAAGCATTCACTATGGTTTATCGACAAAAACTGTATAGAAATTGACATTGGTTTCTCCCAAGTCATTTTGATAAAAAAAAATAAAAATCTGTAAAACTAAATATTTTCGAAGAAATAGAATTACGCACATTACACAAAAAAACATTATTATTTGTATATCCAATCATGGTTTGGTATTTAGCCTCTACTGATAACAGGACTAATTTGCAACTTGGAAACAAACATTTCAAAACATAGCGTAAATAATATTGTTCGTATTGCATACATTTAACTATCTAAAGAAAGCTGATATTTTTTTTATCAGACAACCTTAAAACCGTTTTGGCGCTACAAGCTGAGACCTCACAAAGAGACAACCAGTCATCAATTAGTGCCAAGACAACAAGTGACGACGAATCGATGGCACAACTGGTTACTGAAAAGGTGTCACCTGTAAGTACTGATAATTTATGTGTATTCAACACCATGTATACCAGAACAGATCAGTGACATTATAAGCACACATAATTGTACAAAACAATTTTTTTCCCCTTAACAATCCATTAGCACATGCGGTTTAGTTGTTTGTACCTTGGACATTTTTAATAACAATGGGCATTCCTTTTCGACAGGACTGACTGTTCTTGTTGGTCTGTACATGCAATCAGGAAATTGTGATAATAGGTTTGATAATATAAATCAGATAGTAAATAAGTAAATACCATATCAATATGCTAAACAACTTTCGTTTTCACCCACAAGCCACAATAGAGGTGTCTTATAAAATGTAAAACAGAGAGAAACACCAGTCTGTCAAAGTACTGATATTGCTCAGGATCTTTTTCATGTAGCTAGCCACCACTAACGCTAATTGTCCTGAAGGAATAACAAAAACAAAAACAGAAAAACCTACAGGTTTAATATAAAGATTCAGAATATTTTCACTCAAAAAGTAACGGAAGCATTAAGGTATATGTTGCATTTTTTTCATTTGTTACACTGTAGAAAAGATATGTCAATCATCTCTTTTTCTGGTTCAGGACAATGAATTGATATCAGCTGCAGCTTGTGGTCACACCGAAACCGTGACCCTACTTTTAGAAAAGGGAGCCGATCCTGACGAAGTTTTGAAAGCGTGCAGTAAATATCAGACTTCTTTTAAAATCGACCATTTAACTTTAAGGATAACAATACGTATCCGTGACTTGCTCTATAATTCAAATATATATTACAAATAAGCTTTTATGCTATAGAATACGGTTGATGAGTATTTGATCGAAGATATCTGCCGTTCGTAAATAAGCAAATACTTTTGTGCGAACATACGTATTGAAGCTTAGGATTCAAATAAGTAAAAACAGGACATTATGAAACAAATTCTACTTGGTATTGAAATTTGGTAGTGAGTTTTGAAAAATATATATATTTGTGTATATAACGGAACTTATATACGATATAAGGAGTTTGCTAAATTGTCTTATCTATAAATGTCTTTATCATTTTTATATGAACGTTTCTGCTGTCAGGACATAGCTTGAAATGTCTAAAACTATCAACAGGACATAAGGTTATTTTGTTATTTAGCATGGATCCAAAGTTTTGTGATGAGGAGGACCGCATCATTTTATTTTGCTGTTAAAGCTGATATTGAATGTAAACTGAAAATCCTTAAACATGAGCAGCATACAGTGTCATTTTTTGGTGAATTGGGGGAAGGGCGCTTAATACTTTGAGCATGAATTTACATCAGTCCGATTGCAAAATGGATAGTGCACTCGCCTTTTACTAAGATGGCCAAAGATCCAGTTTTCGATTGCTAGTGCAAAGGTGCATGTATCTGATCGCCTGCCAAAGCTCGTGATTGTGAGTTTTCTTTGGGTACTCCGGTTTCCTCCCATATAAAGAATCCCGCGCTAACATCAGGTCCACACAGAGCAACTAATATAAGTTGATACTAACGTAGGACGACTGATAGGGCTTGTATTACCATTCCGGACAAATGCGGCTAGAACGACTGATATAAAGATGCCTAGTTCACGAATGGTCTATGATAACGCTAGACCGTACTTTTAGGTCGAATACAATAAACCTCGGTCTGATGTCTAAATCAAATAATAATATTAAAATCCTTGACTAAACATTGCAGCCATTTTATAATTACTGGTGGATCCAAAGAATTAACGCATTTCAATTATAAGTGCTATCAAATCATGTAATTGAATCACTAACGGTTGTGTTTAGACACGTAGATGTAAAAAAAGGAAAAAAAAACCAACATCAATCGACAAATACAGACATCAGTGTTTTACTTTTTTTTCGATAAAAAATCATACTTTCAAGTCTGCATCAACTGCATTAAACGCGACTTCTAGTTAACAGACAGTAACGCGTACACCTGTAGTTTTCAGACAGTTTACACTCCCATTTATCTTACCTGTGAATAAGCCTGTAGTCACCAATATCTCTTACCTGTGAATGCCCTGGCAAAAAGGCCATTTATGACCAACCCTCCAACAATCTCGGGTACGTTTCCATATTTAACGAGAGGGAGAATGTGTCATGCTCTTGCCTTTATTTTGTCATTTATCTGAATCCATGTACTATCATATTTCACATAATAATTGAGGAAACAAATCAAATTGCAAACTTGAAACTTGGAGATATTTTAGTCCATTTCAAATGAGTATACATGTATTACACCTAGCTTTACCTATATATAGCGACTCATCCGGATATCGATGGTGTGTTAATCATACGACACAGATGTATAAGCATTACATACGATATTAGGAGTTTGATAAATTGTCTTATTTATACATGTTTTTATCATTTTTATTTGAACGTTTCTGCTGTCAGGACATTGTTTGAAATGTCTAAAACTATCAACAGAACATAAAGTTATTTTGTTATTTAGCATGGATCCAAAGTTTTGTGATGAGGAGGACCGCATCATTTTTATTTTGCTGTTAAAGCTGATATTGAATGTAAACTGAAAATCCTTAAACATGAGCAGCATACAGTGTCATGATTGCGTCATGATTGTTGTAAAATGAATAGAAAAGGTATGATGCGTTAAGTACGCTGATAACTTATTTCAGTTCACAGCATTGACATGGTCTGAAAAAACAAATTAAGGACCGCGTATGTACTCAACGTGCATCTGGTACTTTGTTTCTTTAAAAATAATATATGTATGTTTACGCTCAGTTTCGCATCAGGTACTGTATGTTGGTAAAATCTTGTATAATATCTTGTCATTGTGTTATGAATATAGCAGGGACTTAAATACAAGGACGGACTCATTTATTAAATGAAGATCAATTCAATGAGTCAATGTTTATTTATTTGTCTATGATGTTAACGATATTTTACATAAATGTTAGTAAATAGTGTCAGTTAGATATTTATGGACGACATTGATTCAATGTTAACTTGATAAACGGGGGGTCTGCTAAGTTTTGTGAAAAGAAAATTGCAACAATTCTTATTGTTTTTTTTAATACAAAAACATCTACCTTTTTCAGATATATTGGAAGTATATATTAAAGATATATTTGATTAAGAAACGCAATATCAATACCAAATAAATGAGACTTTTAATGCTCAATCTATCGTAATATACAAGTAACGCAAATTACGAACACGTGGTTTGTTTACCCGTTTGGCTGTTATACAGCAGCACAGCGAATTGTTGAATGGTATTTTATAATATAACATTCGTGTTCCTAAATTCAACATGTTACTTCAATTGATTTGTTAGAGTAACTTGAAAAACAACTTGAATGCCTCATCTACAGATTACGGTGATCAGACTATAAGCATTTTATATCGTTGTTCACGATGATATGACTAATGATTAATATCAACAGTACCTGCATGCACTGTGTGTCAAAACACGTTTAAAGTCGCCCC